CGCCCGCCGCCGCCGCCGGCGCCGCCGCCGCCGCCGGCCGCGCCGCCGCCGCGCCGCCGCCGCGCCGCCGCCGCCGCGTGCCGCGCGCCGCCGGGCCGCCGCCGCCGCCGCCGCGGGCGGCTCCGCCGCGGCGGGCGCCGCCGGCGCCGCCGCCGGCGCGCCGCCGCGCCGCTCCGCCGCCGCCGCGCCCCGCGGCCGCCAAGCCTCCGCACACAACTAAACACACTCTACCACAAAATACCACCTTATTACATAAATAAACAAATAACCGAAAACTCTATATATATTTTCACCTTCCAAATTCTTCATATCTTTATTCTCTAACTTAATATTATATCAAAAAAATCTTATTTATACTTACCCCCAATACCCATTCAATATAATTTCATTCAATAACACGTCCTATAACATTTTTTTTTTCTTTTTTTTAAACATTTTTAATTAATAATATTTTCCAAAAACACACTACCAAATAAAACTTTCTCCTCTCCTATTAAAAATATACTACAATACAAACACCTTTCTACATACAATCATCAATAATTTGGACCATATTTTATAATAATTTAAACTACTAACTCAATCCCATACGCCACAAATCTAAACAATTACTCAATCAAACACAATAATTAAAAATAATACCTAAATACCTTACTACTTTTATATAAAAATATAACCCCTAAAACCTTTCTCAATATTCAATATAACATTCATAAACCACCTTACAACCACCTAATTTTAATCAAATTATACTACTAAACCTACTAACATCTAAACATATTATTCTATCTAACCATTGAACAATGCCACACCTTTTTCAACTCTATTTTAAACTGCCACGTATTCAAAATCCAAATTTTTATTCCAAATCATCCTTTCTACATGCCAATAAATAATCAGTACTGCTATACATCAAATTTCCAAAATCTAATATTTACCTTCTATAACCTCTAACTTAAAAACAAACAATCAATCAATACCGATCTATTGTACACCGTACCAATAACAAAGTATCACAACCGCTAGCAACCGGGCAAGAGAAACAAACCAACGAACAAATAAAATGAAACCAATAACAAGTTTAATAACTTTCTGTCTTGTGTAAATATTTGTCCAAAACATCAATAGTAATGTATCCAGTATCAAAGTAAAGATATTTTCACCGTTGTAAAAAGATATAATTGTGTATTCTCTCCTGATACCTCTTGTCGAGGGGTAGATCTAGACAACCGGATGTTTCGCGTGCGAACATTGACAAACAACTGTGGGACTCCTATTCAGTTGCACAAATTGTTTTCATACAGTCCTAGACAGACTATTTACATAGTATTCACCTTTTCAACTGTACTATGGCAAATACAGAAAGGCCAAACTAACAAGCAGACCCAACACAGGGAGTAGTTTATACAACTGCCATGCGCTCGAGACTAGTCTCAACCCTGCCGACGCTGTGACACCAAGTGGTGAGACCACGAACACCGTAAACACCGTGGAGAGCGTACGTCGCTAATGCAGTTGTCTCAGGGTTCTTTCAACTGTCCTAAGCGAACTATAGTGCGCATCCTAGTGTCAGGCGCTTTGTTATAATAAAACCTCTGTGTATGCTTCGCACCAACGGATCTAATTATTGATTAACATTAGATGCATAGCACTATGAGTTTCGTTTGAACTGTTCAAGGAACACTTTTATACCAGTATCAGAAAAAAATTATATCACTGTGATTTTTGACGAAATATTTTGTGAAATATATCTAAAAAAATTTAAGTTTTGTGTCCTTTTACACATGAAATATGCTTCCATCGAGACTCCCTGGTAATACGTTATAAGTTATGGAGTAATCTGTACATATACTGCATATGAAGCACTAACGTTTGAAAATAGCCGTATAAGTAAGAAATGAAATATTTCTGTTACATTCTGCTCAACGGTCGGTACATCACAGCATCGGTAAATTTGATTTGATTTGAAATTTGTCATTACAGCTGTAAAGAGGGCTTCAATACGAAGGTTACCAAATATTCAGATTTTGGAACTTCTGATGTATAAGCAAGATACTGATTATTTCATATTGAAGATGATAGTACACAGTAATGCCCACTCTGAAATAAAAACTATATGAATTTTGAACTCGATTATGGGCGCAGTCTTCATCAAGAGTTGAAAAAGGTATCGCATCTGTTTCATGCGTTCCCGATAAAGAATAATATGTTTAGACGTTACCGTAGGTCTTAGGTACCGTAAATTTGCAAATATCCAACCACATCTAGGTGTCTGTAAAGGTAATGGGTTTGCCTTTGCAACTGTTAATATTGACAATTATTGAAGAAAACGGTTTATAGGGTAGCTAATATACTTTATTCCTTTAGATATAAAAGTCAGTATAGGCCTATTAGATGAGGATGATTAATTTTTTAACTTCGTGTGTGTTTATGAACATTTGATCCTCCTCGAAAAGTATAAACACCCATTGACCATCTCCCCCTCCCGCCCCCCTTTTGTGGAGTATGGGAAAAATTCAGCGTCTTCAGTAAGTTCTCAAATTCCATGTACTAAATTCATAGGCTTTTAAAATTCTCAAAATTGAACTGCCATGTTGTATTCATGCTAGGACTTTAGAACTAGGATGTTTTGTATTGATATTGCCATACATAGTTCCATTTATTAAAAATAGAAGAGAGAGAGAGAAAAAAAAGTTTTTTATTTGGTTTAGATCGTGTCTCTTTGGTAAAATGCATTTATTAAACTTTTCAGACAAAAATGTCTACTAAAAAAAAAAAAAAAAAAAAAAAAAAAAAAAAAAAAAAAAAAAAAATCCTTTATAGGAAAGTGTCCCTATTGAAAATGATAATTCTAATTGACTGGGTAATCATTGCATCACAAAGTACACTAAATAAGCTTTTTTGATATATAACATCATTAAATTTTAGAGAAAAATAACAGAGATGACGAACTTTGGCAAGGTGCCAAAATATAATACGCCGTTTCTCCGGTCTTTGTTTACTTTACCTTTGGTACATCACCACGCTTGTATTTTTTGTGCGATTCAAATGCAGTTTGTTGCTTTCGCTAGAGCCTCGGAGCCCTGAGGCAGTGTAAATAGCTGATTTTTAAATTTTGACTTTGATCAAAATTTTTTAATTTTTTGATGCTGAAAAAACAGACCAAAAATAGCACTCTTTGTCAACCAGTCAAAATTATATATGAGACGAAGCACAATTCTATGCTCTATATTATGCAAAAAGAATCAATGACCTATCTTCAACCAATTTTTTTTTATGATGAAATGAGTAGGAAAAGGTGGTCATTTCCTGGGACGGTCCCCTTAAGTCAGCACTCTTCCAGTCATGGCTTATGGTGGTAAAACCCACACTTGTTTACTTATGGAAATAATGCAAGAGCCTCTTTGTAAATGCCCACTGAGTCTAATCACCCTCCAAGAGCTTTGTGCATTCATGGGGAGTCGTTTCCGTCATCCCGGCCTTCAGCTAAATTTTTTATGATGGTGTGTTGCTGTTACCCTGGGCCTCACTCAATTTTTCCATGACATGCAAAGGGGGGATGAGTGCTAGATGCTGGATAGAATGGCAACAGTATGTAGAATGGTGAAAGTATGAAAATTATTTTGCACAGTTGATAGTTTTAGTAGTTTCATTTTAGGAGTATTTGATAAGTGGATGTTCTATGAGAGTATCATATTATTTTATGGATATTGCATTTGTTTGGTGCAGTCACAATCATATGCATTTCCCCTGAAACTGTGATATATTATTAATGCCAGAGTTCAAGTGCAGAATTTATATATTTTTTTGCTTTAAACACTTTGGAAAAGTTAGAATATAAATATTTGGTTTGTTTGACTTTTAATGTAGGCATTTCCAAAGCTTTTGTACTTAACTTTGTTGCCTTTCTGCTGCATTACCTCCTGAAGTTGTTCTGGTTTTAATTCAGCTAGATTAGCAAAATAGCAAAGCTTCCTAAGTGTTTGTTTTTCATGATATTCCTTATTTTTTCTTTAGGATTTATTTGAGGGAAATCACCTGGGCATTCTAATATGTTTATAACATTGTTACTGATAAACATTTGGACTGTCTAGGATTTGGGGCAAGGACACGGTCACACAAGAAATTATTACATTTCATTCATGAGTTCCTGAAGTTAATAGCAAATGTAGATTAATGAAATTTTGTTTTGTTTTAACTTGGAAGAAAGTATATTCTTTCTTTAAACCATCACAATGAATGTTAGACAGACCTACTATGTACTTTGGATATTAGTGTGACACAGAACTGGGCCATTGCACAAACTCTGAAACTCTCCCCACTACCTTGAAAGTCCTTTCATCACTGAACTACTCTCAGTTGTGTGCTAAAGGCAGGATGGCCCTAATTGACATATCCTGGGCATGTCTGGATGTGTTCGTTTGTGTAGATGCGGTTATAATACATTTAGATGTCACCTCATGCAGGAGAATCTTGTCTTGACACCAGAACCATGTTTCTTCAGTGGTGGTACTTGCGTGTTTTCTCCTGTAATGTTGGCTTGTTTTAACTCATTTTGCTAAGCTGATGTAGAATTATGTTATCAGACTAACAGCATAAATGCTGGCCAGATGAGACAATCATTTGATCATTCTTCTATCAGAACCCATTGCTCAGTAATGTAAACCAAAGTGCTGGCTGTTAGTCAGTGCTTGAGTCTAGTCATACACATCACATCTCTGCCCACAGTGTTGCCTGACTTCCCTGATAAAATGCTTTTCTTAGAATGTAGTATGAACCATTTTTTGTGTTGAATATATAAACATATTTATTGCAATTTTTGCGCATTTCATTAAAATGCTAAATGTGTTCCCCCTAGTTCTAGATTTTATTCTGTAAAGAAGGAAGAGTAAAGGTGGCATCCAATGCTAGGTCCAATCATCCAAATTGAATAAGTCCTGACCAGTTTGATGATCTGATCAAATTCAAGCAACATTAATTGATTAAGACATATCATCAGTGAGTGTATTGTTTACTTGGCAGGTATCACCAGTTCGAAAAATGTCTTACTGACTGGAAGGAGCTCTGGGTAGATGATGCTTATTGGCATGTTCTCTTTGCTGTGGTCCTCCTGGTGATTATGATCCTTTGGCGGCCATCCAATAACAACCAGGTGAGCTATGTGGTGGGCAAAGTGGAATTGATAAGGTGGAGTGCCAGAAGAAATGTCCTGACATATTGACTTGACAATTTTAGTGCTATGGCTTTAGGTAAGTATATCCATGTAAATGAGTGTAATTTGATGATAAAGAAGGAGTGGAGTGAAGAAAAGTAAGGAGAGGTAAAGAAGATGGTGGTGGAATAGAGGAGGTAGAAGAGGAAAAAGTAGAATTAATTTTATTTTATTTTCTTGTCTGTAAGCCAAGTAGGAGTATAAAATCCTTTTTCTTTTTTTCAGCGCTTTGCCTTCTCACCCTTATTAGACGATGGATCAGATGCTGATGATGAAGAGGAAGCTGAGAAGCTGATGGCTGATATTTCTGATACGATGAAATTCCGAAATACGCGTAATTCGACCTCATCATCACCTCGGGAATCGCGCTCTGTGGTATGTTGAGAGGTTAATAGTTAATGGTTGAAACAATTAAATGTGCTAGACATCAAAGGTCATATAGCACTATGGTGAAGTACTGTAGTGAAAAGCATTAAAGGAAGTTAACGATTGGGATATGATCTGTTTAATGTCAAAGGTTATTGAGTGTTATAGGATAGTATAATAGGGAAAAGGGTAAAGAGGGGGTGCAAAGGAAGTATATCTGAGATTAGTAAAGGAAAGGGTTAAGGGCGCTAGGCATATGGATGAAATAGAGTGTATCTATGGTTAGGGAAGCTATAGGAACATTGTTTAAGGAAAACTGGCAAAAGAGCTATTATGAAATAATCAACTAGTAATACAGGTAGAGATGGCTGTTGGAGAAGAATCTGGGGGATGAAGTAAGGCGACCGGGGAAGGTGGTGAAGTATGACAAGGAGTGTCAGGAGGGGAGGGATCTGGAGAAGGACTGTTGTGACAGAAAAGATTAGGTGAGTATTCAGGTGGGAGAGGTAAGGATAATGGGAAATGAAGAGGGAATAGTGCAGATGAAGGAGGAGAGGATGGGGTGTGTTAAATAAGAGTGGGAGGAAGAGGGATAGGGGGACTTAATGGGGAGGAGGATGCATATCGGCAAATACTGTATAGTATAGGAATAGAAGGATTGTAGGATAGATAAGGGAGTGGAAATAAAGTGCTTGTTTATTGTACATTCATGACTATATGCATTTCTAGATGGGTTTATTTTGGAATTGAGATTTTTGGGATTTCTTTATTTGTTGACTCAAGAACAGAATCATTTTATCCTGTTGCAAATTTTGTCTTTGATATTTTGGTGTGTGTTTGTGACTGAAAATTTCTGCCTCTGAATATTTGATCATGTTGTGATTTTCAACTTGCAGGAAGATGATTTGAAGTGGGTTGAGGAAAATATCCCATCATCTATTGCTGATAGGTAAGCTTTTAGATTGTCTTGTGTTTATCATTTTTTCTGATGCATTTTATGTATGAATAAAGCGTATGGAGATGACTTAACCCATTAAAGCTGAAAATAAAAGATTCCTGGCTGCTATAAAATCTGCAGAGTCTGGGGCAGCCCCTGCGCTGGACTCTGCCTGCCCGCTGCTGTGTCGGAGGGTGAGCCCCGATACAGCGTCACACTGGCGGGACGCCCGGCAATGTTTATTTTATCGGGTGTCTCATATGTGGGACACCTGTTGTTAGTGGGTTAATAGAGGAAATATGATAATGAAATTATTTTCCCTGTCTTTTCTTTTCAGTGCTCTTCCCATTCTGGACTCAGATGAGGTAAATAGAAAATATTTGTAATGAACGTGCATTTTACCTACATACAAAGTTAAGGTTGATTTGGGTTTCTATACAGCAAACCTTTAGTGATAGTTCTTTTGATAAAAAAAAAAAATATTTTTTAATTTTTTTATTTTTTATTTTTTGAAAATAAAGCTAACTTTTCTTTCCTCTTTCAGGAAATTGTCACCTCAAAGTTTGAAATTTCAAAGATGCAGTGAGGTCTCTGCAGAACCTTCTGTGACATTACAGGTCCATTCCATTACCCATTGGCACTGATGCTGTTGGGACCCAGTACATGTTCTGTCGCCAAAGCATAGAAACAAATGTTGTTTCCCTCCCCATTGCCCAATTTATTTCCTCTCTCCTCTTGTAAGTTATTGAAAGACAGATTGTGCCTAGGTTAAGCCTTAGAGTGTGAATGGAGTTGTCTGAGAGAGTGAAAGAATGATGGAATTGCTGTAAAGTTCTCGTTATCATGTAATGCATGTTTTCATCAGCATCTGATTTAGTCATTGTGTTTGAAGGCTTTCCTCTGCTCTACATATTTAAGAGGAACAATTTTCTCACGTATTCCAGATGCTAATAGTGTGAAATGTTGCCTCAAAAGCCCAGTGGTG